TGCTTTGAGTGCTCAGGTAGAGTAGAAAAGCCCAATTTGAGGACCAGTCCATTTACCCTTTACCTTCTTCTCGATTGCTTTGATTGAACAATTTTTGTTCTTTGGAAGTAATTTCCAGGTTATTAAAGCCTGGATTTCCTCTGAAAACTGAAAACAGCACATCTTGTTTCAGCACAGCACAGTATGCGCTGCCCCCCCCCATGGTGAAGAAAAATAGAGATATCAGTCTTTTTAAGGAATGGTCAACTGGTTTACTGGTAGCAGTAAATATGTATAGAAGAAAAGTGGTGAATTGGAAAACTCCATCTGTTGTTTGCAGATTCACTGAAACATCTCTCAAAGGAAATGTCATAACTGGTCAGAGATTTCCTGTTTGAGACGACAGAAACAGCAGATGTGAAAGGCAAATCCGATTCTTCTAAGAATATGTGCTGGCCCATTGGTTAGAAAGATCGCTGTGCTGATGCACCATGGCCCCACATGGCTGCTTGGCAGTTTTAATGTACACCATTAAATACCCACCACCTGTTTTATGTCTGACCCTCTGATCTGACCTCGTTGTAGGACTAGCATGTGGCACAAATGACTTTCTGCTAAATTAGCTATCACTTCATGCTGGTGCTGAGTTACACTCACTCTGATCATGACCAAGTAGTTATTGTTAACTAGTGACCAACAGGATAGTGTTTCCTGAACGTTTAAGTGTTTGGTAGTTTTTCAGGAAGTTGTTCATTAAACTGTTGATCTGAACTTGTTCTTTCTTTTTTTTTTAATGCTTAATGTGACAAGTTTGTAGAGAGAGGCAGATCCCAATGAGAATCCACAGAACACTTGCATGAAAGACTCAGTCACTAGTTTGCTCCAGTCCATAAAGAAAACCATCCATCCATTTGCTTCCGCTTATCCTTTTCAGGGTCGCAGGGGGTGCTGGAGCCAATCCCAGCTGTCATAGGGCGAGAGGCGGGGCACACCCTGGACAGGTCGCCAGTCTGTTGCAGGTCTAACACACAGGGACAGACAACTATCCGCAATCACATTCACTCCCGCATTCACACCTATGGGCAATTTAGAGTTTCCAACTGAGTCCATTGGAAAAGTCCATGTACGGTAAAAGTCCATTTACCCCGCATTCACACCTATGGTGAATGCAGTCAATGGTCAATTAACCTATCCCCACAAAGTGCATGTCTTTGGACTGTGGGAGGAAGCCGGAGTACCCAGGGAGAACCCACGCAAACACGGGGAGAAACTCCACACAGAAAGACCCTGCACTCAGGACCTTCTTGCTGTGAGGCAACAGTGCTAACCACCGTGCTGAGAAAATCACGATGCATCATATTTCTTTTCACTATAAGGGAGACTATAATGTACAAAATAAGACTTGAAACCTAAAGCACATCTATACTGGCTTCACTTGACCACAAAGCTTTTTTATAGTGAAGTGTTGGTTGTAACATGCAAGTACATTACTTTTGTTGTATCAAGTCACATAATGCATTAGTTTAGCAGTTCAGGTAAACAAAGGGATCCACAGCAATATTTGTTTCTGTTTCTTCTCCTCTTTTAAGGGCTGTTGCATAATTTTTGAGTGCACATGTGTTGCTTAGCTAGAGAGACAGCAGAAAGGATAACCTTTATGTGCTGGAGGCATTTGTATTATTTTGAATTTTGTTAGTGGAAAGGACAAAAATAGCATCATCGTGTAAATTTCCAACTGTGCCTGGTTGATATGTGTCTGTCACCTGGGAAGAGCTCTAATTTCAGATGCTTCTGCTGGCTGCGCACAGCAGCTCCACAAAGTGGTCCAATGGCGTGATTTTTACAGGGCTGGCCTTAGACGATGGCACAGCTTCGCTATTTTGCTTCTGCAGAGCAAATTGCTGTAGAGAAAATACTCAGTTTTTGACTGCAAGGTCGGAGTGGCTTTTGGACTCATAATATGCTTTTTTTGTGCAACCTTTAATTAATTACAAATCTGGAACTATTGCTTATGTTATTTTTTTTAAATTGCTGATAATCAGAGAATGGCAGACAGACAGACTTTACACAGGCTTCCTCATTACCTATATGTACATATAACAATAATGTTAATGATAACGAAAAACAGCAATATTCAAATGAGCAGAGTGAGAACTCGACAGAACTGAAAAGTAAAATCACCCTGATATTCAGTGTTACTCCCTTGACTGTAATGCTGTAATATTTACTATTAACCCTTAAACACATAATTTCCTCTCAGTGCATGTTTTTTTTTTTTGTCAGACTTGAAAAAGCTGAATATTTATCTTGCTCCGTACATAATTTGGACTGTTTTAAGCTCGGCCAGGTCAATAAATTTAAGTGTGTTTAATTTAAGAGTAAGTTAGATGGTGGATTGAAGCCAGTTCTATTAATGACTTTAATTGCTCATTTACAATGTAAATCAAGACTGTGCTGTGAAAATGTATCCAGGTGACATATCGAGAAATGTTTTTGGAAAAGGTATTTTAGAAAAATTAAATAATTGTCTCCAGTCATTAATAAATCCAGTTCTGTGAATATATGACTCACATTAAGTCTTCATGATATGTTTGTGGGGTGGTTAAAAGGATGGCTACACTTTAGTTTAGCCAAACCTTAGCCAACCCCTTTAAGCCAACCCTTTACTCTGCTCCTGGGTGCAAATGCACCTAAAAAGCAATGACTCACTTTGGTTTCAAGTAAAACGACTTAGTTTTGTTACCGACCAACAAAGTAACATTACAAGACACTGCTGGACGTTAAATGGTAAATGGGACTGATACTCATATAGTGCCTTTTGACTCATTTGAGGAATCAAAGCGTTTCTACTGTAAGTGTCATTCACCCAATCACACACAGCAACATGGGGTTTAGCATCTTGCCCAAGGATACTTCAGCATGTGGACTGGAGTATGGATCGATCCACCAATATTTACAGTTTAACTGCTACTCATGTGCTCCTCCTTATATTGTACAATTGATGTCATGCATATATGTACGTATATGTACGTACTAGAATTTCTAAAACTTAAAAATATCAGTATTTAATGTCACAGGGAAAAACTGAGTCCACATCATTGTAATTTGTAGGTACTCAGTAGATAAATATAACAAGGCAACTAAGACGAATGACAAGAACACAGCACTGTGAGAGAACAAGAGGAGGCGGTGCTATGCTGGCAGTTGGTGTGTGTGTGAGTGTGTGTGTGTGTCTGCACGTCAGCTTGCTGTTGGAGCATAACTGGCATCAGCCCATTAATACTGTGAAAAATAAGTGATGACAGTTTAGAATATTCAGAACTGACATACAATGAAAAAATCATTAGATTTTGATAACATCAGTTTGCAATTCCATTTGTAGTCATCAACTACAAAGATCGACTGAGGCACACATCTGCTCTCCAAATCACTTGCCCTCTTCAAATTTTGGGAGAAAAAAAAAGAAAAAAAAAAAAGAAACCAAAAGGGAAAATATATTTTCTATATTTGTGTCTTCATGGCAGGTTCCTCCTGCTAATGTCAGTTTTCAACGCTCGACAGCAAATAAGCTATTCAGCCGAAACACATTAAACAGCATGTACAAGTCACTCTGGTCTGTTGAGATGCTGCCGGGCTTCTTGCGCCTCAGCACCACTAACAACATGCTGTCTGCCCGTGACATGTAAGTTACAGTGCGAGTTTGATTACTTTCTCTCTCATTCCTCCTGGTGTATCAGCAGCAGACAAACACAGGAACAAGAATGACTTGAGCTGGCCTTTTCAGCCTTAGATGGTTATGTGCATTTATCTGGCATGCCTCCTATCCTGATGCAATAATAATATTGTTTACAATAATATTTTGAAATTCGAGTCAGGTCAGTGCATTTGAAAACAAGAGATCAATGCTAAAAGAGTAATAATAAAACAATACAACACATTCAAGTTATAGTTATGAAAAAAATAATCAGAGCTCTGTCTGGTTTAAAAGACAAGTTGTAAAAATTAGTTTTATAACAGTCTGAAGATTTTGCAGCAACTACTGTAAAAGAGACGATATCCTTTATATTTAAATCTGTACAATAGGACATCAAGGATTACCTGCTCAGCAGATAACAGAGTAACGTTTAAAGATCAGCGAGGTAGGTGCCAACCCATGTGATGACTTAAAAACGAACAATAAAATCTTAAAATCTAACATGGGTGAAATGCAGTGTTGTTTGCGAATACCAGGTCAGAGTCCCACAGCAGCCTTTTAGACGAGCTGCAGTCGAGCAAGAAACAACTGACTGAGACCTGAATAGAGACTATTGCAGTAGTCACGCCGAGATGAAATGAAGGCATGAATAACCTTTTAGAAAGTCTCTGAAGCAGAGAAATGGTTTCACCTTCACAAGTATCACTAAGTTGAAAGAAGCTAACTTTGACAGCAGCATTTATTTGTTCATCAAAAGAAAAAAAATACTGCAGAGGATCAATCCCATGTTAAAGGTTTTTTGTTTGGATCCTTAAAGGATCGACATTGTCAGGTCAAGGCTTTCCAAATGATGTTTCTGATCGTTTAAATTAGGAACACCTAATGGCATCCAGAAACAAGCCACAATAATGTAATACAGCTGTTAAAAGAAAAGCATTATGCATATATATTTTTTAACCCAGTGGTTTATCTGATGGCAAACCGAGCAGAGCCTGAGCTCAGCAGAGGAAGCTGCAGATGTAGCCTGCAGGTACTTTTGCATTTGTAATGAACAATCTCAAACAGACCATATAAAGAAGCTATTTCCTCATATCGCAAAATCAATACAGTGAGATGCACTGTAAAGCAATATAATGAGACTTTTGGCATACAGCAAGTGTTTTTGGCATGAAAATCGTGTGGGGGAGGAGCATACTAAAATGATTTCAAATAGCTAGCTAATCTTCTCATGTGAATTCCAAAGTATAAGTAGCTATGCCGCAAGACATACGTTAGATAAACAATGTACGTGCAAGAAAGTGAGAGAAAAATGAAATTGAAGCAATACCTTCAGTCCTCCACACTCTGCTGCTGACCCTTGGTCCACTCCAGTGATGTAAATACCCAAAGCGTATTCCGCTCCCCCTCGGATCATCAGACCCAGAGACCGGCCATCATCTAAAACCAGGTTGACCTATTTAACACAAAGAGAGAAACCAATAAAACAGGATGAATAAGGGTATAAATATCTGAAGTATAATATAAATATCAGCATTTTAAATGACACTGCAGTCTCGATTGTTTTCCTTGACGGGCTGCCAGATTTGCTCATGGTGTCGGGCTGCTCACATTGAAATGAAGTTGTGAAACACAATCCATGGAGCAAATGACAGCCCTGCTCTGAGATGGCATTTGAGAGCAAGGAGATGAAGAATTTCAGGAACTACTTAGATGCGGTGAGTCAGCACCATTAATGGGGGAGTCAGAATCTGTTTTGATTAGAGGAACGGCTCTCTGAATTGGTCAATCAGTTGGTTCACAAGGCTCATCCGTGTCATTTCCTCTGATAAGCAGCATGGACAATATCGGACACAGTTTGAATTCAAATAAACCACCACAGGAATTATTGGGGGACTACAAGATATCTCTGCTACACCACCCAATTAAAGTGCTTCTGCAGGGAGTGAGTGATTTGTAGACGATGTACTGTGCATGACTAATCCGGTGCTTCCCTTAAACTTGTTTTCAAAAGATATTCCACTAGAACCACAGCGTCTATTCGGTTTGTGGCCTAGTGAAAAAAAATGTGGTCTCTGATAAAATATGGCCATTACCAATGTTATCCTTGCGCACTAAAATAATTGTGCTTAAGGGCACCTTGTGTGCATCACTCAGATGCCACTGGCTTGGCAACACAGTAGTACACTACGAGAAAAGAGCAGGTCAATGAATCCGACTAAACCAACTAAACCAACTAACTAAAACACTGACATGAATTTAAACCAATTCAAATAAATAAGGTCAATAACGTAAAAACTTGTTGGCATACTTTTTTTAACCAATAAATACAATTCAGTTTGTTTATATTCTTGGATATTATTGTCAGATTTTATTCTACAAAGTTAGGAAAGCAATGTTTAAGTCAAATCTGATTTTGCCTCACACATGCAGAGAGGAGATGCTATGTTATAAAGAAGTATAAATGTAATAAATGTAAATGTGTCTGTTTTCTTATACTTTCAAAACTACAAAAATTAGAAGACAGTATTTATGTGTTTCCTTGTTTGTCATGTATACTGTCACAGTACATGCTTATCTTAACCAAAGTTTTAAATACTGAGGTCAGTGTGTGTACAAGCAATCAAAAAATCCCAAACTTCAGACTGTTGTAAATGTTTATTTTAGATATTTTCCCTATTTTTTTTTTTAAACAGTATGATGTAACTGAAGGGGGTATGCTTAATATATCATGTAACCTCAGGCATTTCAAGATAAATAGAGATTATCCTTGAGTAAAATTATGGACCTGGAAATGAGCATAATAGTTCCCCTTTAATACAGGCATGGCACTTTTACCCCAGGTTATATATATAGTACTGCAGCTGTAGATATTAACCACCCAGCTGCTGCCAAATGACTTGGTTAGCAGAAGAGTTTGAAAGACTTAGGTGGTCCTATTTGCAGTGTGTGCAAGTGTAATGATGGGTTCATTCGACTGTTAAACCGCTTTATTGTAAACTGTCAGGAATTCTAGCAGGGCATTGTTTAGTACCTCTGGGTCATCTCATCAAGACTTTCCTTCAACTCCACAGCTATTTGCATTGGCCCTTGAGCCTCTAGCTCACTTAATTAAGTAATCTTCTAATGTCAAAGGCATCTCTTATTTTATGACACACAACATTACATGCTAATGATTTTCAAATGTGATTCTACCCCAAAACAACAATAAAAAGATATTCGGGAAAAAAAACAAAAAACTTCCCTCCTAGGCCCATTGTTTGCTCCATCCCCCCCCCCTCTACTACTTTATACCAGAGCACTAAGCAATGCTTTTTAATTAACAGTTGGTCAAGCTTACCCAGCTTAAACTTCAAAATACTCTGGTTTCTCTATAATTGCCATTGGGGCTACTTGGATGAACCTAGCATTTGTAGAATATCTACATTTGGAAAGCAAAGAAACAACATCAAATTTTACTCTGTCCACTTGGGGAGGCTCAGTATTGCTTAGCTATGCCAGACTATAAATTGTACTTTTCTCCATCACAATGAGGCTCTTGATTACTTGGTTTGATCAGAGTGCAGCTGTCTCTTGCCAGATTTGAAACGAGGGATCAGTTGCACACTGGCGGCTACAAGATGGCACATATGCTAATATCTGTATTAAACAATGTCACTTTCATCCAAGTGATATACCCCTTGGCAAAGACTTGACATCTGACGCAGAGGTTTTACTTTCATTCAGAGCATATTGCACTGTGGTCCTCCTTTTTAATAACAGCTATCTGCCTATCGGCGATAAGCGAGCCACCTTTGCTCACTTCTAGGAATATGCAGGCATTCATGTTTTCTGTGACATTTATGCAGGACATGGAGCATAGTTTTAATTACCAGATTCATTCTGCTTTTTCTGGCACAATATAGCAACTATTGGTGCACACTATATTCCCCAGCATCACTTTAATGCTCTGTCTGTCTAAAAGAAGTCCCAGTGTTCTAATGTTTCTGGTTTCTAAGCAATGGCCCTTGAGACCTGTTCATTTGGGACAGACAAATGCAATTATGTGTGCAAGTTATACTATTTTACTGTATTGAGTGGAATTTGTAGGTACTGTATAAAAAGTTAAACTGTACCACTTCTCACTGATAACGCCATGCCAGCCATTCATTTGTTAAGTTTACTACTGGGCTGAGATCAGTTGACTGATCAGGCCACTGAAGAAGATCCCATTTATTTGGCTTGAGAAAGTCTTGAGTTACATTTGCAAAATTTTCTTCTTCAGTATCCACTTGCACTGCGAAGCATCATCTGATCATTTTGCAGCATGTGACTGAGTCTGAGCAGAGGTTATAGCCCTGCACGCTTTAGAATCCTGCTACTGCTATCATAAATCAGAGAGCGCCACTCTTCCCCCAAAGGGAAGGGCAATACTAAAACTCTGACACTCTCTCCATGCCCATGCTCCATTTTTTTCATGGTCAACTTTGATCTTGGGTACTAACAATGAACGTCAAGGTCAAATGCTTAGCTCAAGTAGCTACTCATGTCCCCCGAGGCCTACAATTTTGTTGTGAAGTTTGAAGACGAGTCATAAAAAGTTGTGGGTAAAATATGAAGTTTTTACTGATTTTCACATTTGATGTGACGATGTGAGTTTCACTGAAATGAAATCACATGGAGTTATTGGTATCTAACACAACACAAAATTTTGAAAAATTGTATTTTGAAAACTGTGGATACTAGATAAACAAACAGACAAACAAACAGACAGAACCGATTACATAATGTCTCCATTTGGGGGAAGAATTAACACTAAAGTCACCAGTTCCACTGCAGCCATAAATGCACATAACAGTGTCTCCAATACATTTGACAGATGTTGTAGATTACTTCAGATCATGAACTGTTCCCCTCGCTTTACTTTTCTCTCCTCATCAAGTACAAGTTAATTTTGGTTTCATCTGTAAAAATATTAATATATTTGTTTTTTGTTGTTGTTGTTTTTCACAGAACTGTGCCAGCTGTGATGTGTTTTTGGTCTAATCTGGCCTTTCTGCTTCTGACTATAAGCACTGTTTTGCATCTTGTTGTGAACTCTCTGTATATACATTCATGCTCTTGGTGTTGCCTTGGCTAGATGTTGTGAAGGATTCTTGACCAGGGAAAGAGCTGATGATCACAGAATTCTTTCCATGGTTAAAAGAAAAATCTGTATTCATCAATTTTCTGTGATGTTACTGAGCTGGCTGGTGTTAAACTTTTCCATTTTTAATTTATTTTAAAAATATTTTAAGTGCCAGGTTGCCTAAAGTTTTGCTAATTCTTTATAGGTTTATTTTACTTTTTCAAAATTTTACATTGAGTAACATTCTCAAATTTTTCCACAATTTGTAGACATGGGTATTAGCAGATTCATGCACATTTGTCCATGTTTACTTCTGAGAAACTCTTAAATGCTCTTTTTATATCAAATTATGTCATTGACCTGTTGCCAATTAACCTAGTTACAAAATGTTCCTCCAGCTGTTTGTGTTTAGTTCAATAACTTTTTAAGCCCTCTTTTGTTCCCATTTCAACTTTTTTTTACGATGTATTGCTGTCATCATATTCAAATTGACCAGATATTCATCCATCCATTTGCTTTCGCTTATCCTTCTTCAGGGTCGTGGGGTGGGGGTGGGTGGGGGTGGAGCCTATCGCAGCCGTCTTAGGGCAAGAGGAATACCGCATGTGCAAGTGCCTAATGTAACAAGTGACAAGTGATAAGTGGCATCATATGGCAGGCAGAAAATACCAAAATCAGACAAACCCGCAGCCAACAACACAAAGTAATTCATTAATTTATTGCTGCATGGTTTGAATTATTTACTACCAAGAAGTTATGATCCTAAGCTAAACCTGAGCCTTAGCTGGCCAAACAGTGATTGATTTCTGAAGCATCAATATGAGTGTCTGCAGCACCCAAAGCCAGAGGCGTTTTGAAAACCAAGTTAGATTGGAGGCTTGCTACATTTTAATATAGCTAATAAAAAGTTGTACTACAGTAGAATGACAATAAAATTCCACCTTCCCGAAGAAGTAGCTGAGAGAGCATTGGATGTTTTAAGAAATTTGCCAATAAAAAGCAAAGCCATACATGTACTGTCCAGATGCTACAAAGCAACTTTCAGTAGTTGTGGTATTGATACAAAGCACTTGATTGGACTTGGATGCCGTTCACTTACAAATTCATACATTTCAAATTAATGAATGATTAGTAGGTTTCAGATTATCCAAAAGGGGAACAGTTCTGTCATTATCAGAACAGCTGTGGATCAAAGGAACTCTAGCTTGCATAATTCAGAGCATGGTCTCACCCACAGACTAGAGAGCTGAATGAAGCAATTCCAAAAGAAAATAAACTTAATTGAGACATATTTTCTAACATATTTCTAATTCCATCCTATGCAGACATACCATGACTCAAAATTAATAATATCAGAAATAGAAACTAGAATTTCAATGAACTGCCAAACTCTTTTTAGTACTGGATTAATATTTGCTCATCTGCAATGCAGAGCTGAAGTCTGCATTAATAGAGCTGAAGCAGTTAAGATTAATATGTAGCTCTTAGGTGCTAAAAAATTGAAAGTTCTAGTGCAATAAATCTTTTAAACAGCTCTGATAGCTCCTTCCCTGCAGGTCATGAGGTGATGAGAGCGTAAGGTTTTACGGCACTCGAGGTCCAATTATTTTTATCGTTTAAGTTTTTAATTTTAGTATCCAGTGTTATACACTTCTTTTACTGTGCCTAAAGTTAGCCGGCTCACACAACCAAACTTAAAACCAACTCCCATTAAAATTCAGCATCTGAAACATATCTTTTCAAATTTATTCAAACTGTTTTTAACTGTCTCATTTTAAGAAGATTAGAAATTACAAGGTAGGACTAATATTTATCCAGTGGCTGTATTTGTCCAGTCAGGTGATGAAATGCTTAAAGTTCAACCTCATGATTATTGTTCTCTAAGGTCAGTTAATTGAACTCTATGAATATGTAGGATGAATGGAGGATGAAGCCTTTTCTAGCTGTCACTGGATTAGAGCTGGGGTACACTGTGAACTGGTCGCCACCCCATCAGGCTAACACAGTGCAATAGACAACCTTTTCTCCTCACATTCTCACAAACAGCCAATTTAGAATTTCACCAGTTAACCGAACAGGTATGACTTTGAGAAGAAGCTGGAGTTCCCTGTGAGAAAATATGCAGTCACAAGAACATGCATTATAACGCCACACAAAAAGGCCTCTGCACGAACATTTTCTGCAATTCTGGGATGTGATCAAATAGTCAGTTTTGCTTAGGAAGGTTCCTAAATACAAATAGTGGACAAGCAGTGCAGGTCGTGTAAATGTTAATTACCAGTGAGTCTTCATTTCATGCTACAATGTCCTGATATGTTCTGAACCTGAACAAACTGTTAAACCCACAGGTTAACTATAGCAATTATGCCGCAGTAATGCAATCTGTCTGTTATGAAGATCAGAGTGAGCTTAAGGTTTACTATAATTCAGCTTGCATTAGTTATGTGCTGAGTGTTGCTGCATTGCCAGCCTTTAGGATTATAATTAATTATTTTGCTTTAGTCACAGAGGCTGAGAGGAGCAATAAAGGCAGGAGTTACCCTGCATCATGTCTGTAGTGGGAAGAGTGAGGGGACAGGATAAATGACAAACATTTCACTTCACTTTACACATTCCCTTTCTAAACATTCTAGCCTTGATAATAACGTCACCAGTTCATCTGAGTTTATAAAGCCTGCGTCAAGCAACACAACAAGAATAAAGTATCTAAAATGGGCTAGGGGACATTGTCATTTCCACACTGCAGACAAATGTCAAAAATACCTACTGTCACTTTATTAAACGGTGTACTCCAAGTGGAGTCGGATCCTCGGATCCTCTTTTCTTTTCCTAAGTGTATGAATCGTCTTGCTGTTTTTTGTTGAGGTCAAGCGAAAGTGACAGGGACTTCAGAGAAAAACATCAAGTTGTGCCTCAAATGACTCAAGTAAGAGTTAAATAGAGTGGGCATCAGAGTCCAAACAAAGCAGTGCTGCATGGGGACTCGTTGATCTGTATCAGTACAGTGAAAAACCTTCCCTAAAGTGAATACTCCCATCTCAGTCTTAAACCTTGTTCACAGCGTGACGTCTTTTCCAGAGGCAAATTTTTAGTCTGTGCCACTGGAGGAAGTCGAATAAGATTTTTATTTTGTGAAATCTATGAGGCGTTTGATGATTTATGTATCAAATGCTTTTAGACTTTGTTACTTACTTTAGCATCACAAAATTTAGCCTTAGCATACACTATTAATCTTTTGGGGGTGCATTCTTGTGCCCCTTAAAACATACTGGTCAATATAGAGCGTCTCTCTAGAAGTTCTGTGGATGTCTGTGTGCAAGACAGGTGCAGAACACTGACAGGTTATCAGTTAACTGTCCATTTCATTTAAAGTTTCTCACTGGGAGTTATGTTGGTGAACTGCTTGTCAAAGCAAACGATTCTTGCTGTTGTTTCCGCGTACTGTCCAAAACCTAATAAAAAGATATAGTAAATGACAGTTGGCTTCTTTCTGACCAATGCTGAAACTAAAAATGTTTTGGAGGCTTCTTTGCTCCAATCAGTGCACATAGTGTAGTGTAATAGTAAACATAGCAAATACAGGCTGTTAAAAGTACAGGAAGGAACTAATTTTATGTTTTTTTAAAAGGCATTTTTGGTCCTCTAGTTTAATGGTTTGCATGTAAGGTCTCTACCTTCTTCTCATCCCCTTCCTGCAGTAGCTGCATGTTGCTTCGGCGCTGACTGTCAGTTCTTCTCAGAGTGGCGCTGCGATGCTCAGGCAGGTCAGGAGGAGGAGACACGCTTCGGCCCTGAGGGTCAACCCAGGTATAAACGTGGTTGGTGACATAGCCGCCTGGAATGCGACCGACTGAACGCACTGAGAGGCAAAGCTTTTTACTTCCCTTGAGCACCTGAGGAGAAGAAAAGAGAGCGGAGGAGAATAAATTGAGGCCAAATAAAAATTAAAAATAAAAATTTGCTTTTCAGTATGTGCTTGAGTTGAAGGAGCAAAGTATACTCGCATATCTACACTTGAGTCAATTTAATTTGATTTGACAAAGCCAAAACATACTCCCACACATAAACATCCATGGTTATAAAATCAGTGTGAGGGCTTAGAAGAAGATATTGAAGTGAGAGACAACACACACAAAAAAAATCTAGCTGAAACGAATGTTTGGTCGAAAATTAAAGGTTGCAGAGAGAAATGGCCAATATTTGGAAGGCTTTTCTAATATCCAAAAACCCCAAATGACCAAACAGCACCACCACCCACACACACAAACAACAACACTTCTAACACATTTCTACAGAAAATTGCTGTTGGCTGTGCCTCATTGCCTTCTGATAGCTTGCCATATGTGCAATCCCTCTGCAGATCGATGTATTCCCATGTGCCTCGTGGTCTGGAGGAATCAAGCTGAATAGGGTTGAATCTCTTAATGATCAAGAACATCCTTGTGTACCACCAACACAAAAGGACTCTCGACTTTCATTTCATACTAACGAAACACACACTGTTGATTTTTAAAACAGATACTGCAACAATCTCAAGATTTGTGAAATACTGGCTCACTATAGAGCTAGAGTCCAAGACTGTCACAACAAAGACCACACCACAGCGTGGTAAAAGACTTCCCAAAGTTCCTCTTTGTCAGGAATCCAATTTAATTTGTTACACAGTGTCCCTCCATTCTCTTCTTTAGTGAGCTACAATTAAGCTACCCCTCCCATCAATCTTTGATCATTTGTCTTCTTGCTACAGTTCTTGCAAGGAACTACTAAATGCTTCTGTTGAAATGCCTATTAACATATGCTCAGAGCAACAACTAAAATCATTACTTGTCAGAGTGCTGTGGATTGCAGCGGAGGCCCATCTCTTAGAGCACAACAACCCGACTGAATCAATTTCACAATTTTGATTTGTGCCGAGAGATAATAACTTCAATTCTGAGGCAACAAACCCCTGTCAGCAGTGAAGATGCCTGATTGTATTGCCATGCCTTTGAGCACTCTCTCCCTCTTTCACCTCCTGCTCCCTTTCTGGGCGGCATCGATGCAGAACTGTAGATAAACATACATAGCAGATAAGTTGAGTAACACATGAGCAAAGAAGGAAGAAATGTGCGCATATAATATCCAAGAAAAACCACAAACTGCATGAAGTAGAAAGGGAAAACTGCATGTCTTCGTGATTAACTGCGCCAATTATGACTGTGGTAACGTCAAAAACAATCTCCTTGTTTTGAGCAATGCGTATTGTCACCAGAACATGAAATGTGTTGCATCCGTCTGAGCCAGAAGACATCACCAGAGGGTCCTGGGAATCAAAACATAATCATGATGGAAGGCTGATACTGAAAAAAGCAAATAAACTTCATTCATTGTTTAGTCAGCATTGGCATTCCCATTGCTGGGTCCATTAATAGTCTAACAGCACAAAACTAGTAAATTAATTTTTATTACCTACAAGCATGGTGAAATAAGTAAGAGTCACTATATATTACTCTAGAACTGGGACACAGCTATAATTACAACTATAGTTATTATAGAGGAGGACAGAAATTTGTATTGCATGGTGATTAAATCACTGCAGAACCTTTAAAAATCAATTCAGGCTTTGAATGTGCTGCACCATCTATAATCTAAAGCGGTTAATTATAGTTGCAAAAAATGTTTTTGGGATGAAGAGTTCTGCACTGATTGCTCATAAAATGCGGTCTGACTTTCATCTAAGTCACGATTACAAACAAACAACCTTTGACTAACATTACAACACGACTACAGCTGTACTTTTCAGGTCGTCATTAACACGTTGAATAATCGCACACAGAGATAGTTGAAGTATGTGAAACTGTGATAATCAGTCAAATAAAGTTGGAGTCAGATGTTTCACTTAAGAAGATGGGACTGCAAGTATTAGATGTGCAGACAAAGTCTTGTTATTGACAGTTGGTTGATGAATGTGACCTTACAAACAGCTTTACATAGATGCATTGTGCTGGAAAATGATAGTATAACATTTCTTAAGATCTGGCTATTTAGTACTTTGCAATAACACAAATGGAAATTCGGCACACTCTCTTAGGATTGGGCATCTTCCAAGGATTGCACCAAGAGCAGAATGTGCAATCCTGAAATAGGAAAAAATGCACATGAAGGTAACAAGAAAATTAGAGATACAGTTAAAGTTTTGGCAACAATACAAAAGCCTATGTAGCCTTAGTACTGTGTGCCCACACCAAAACCTTATGCATACTGAAATATTACAGCCACACTAGGGCAAATAGCAGTTAGATACTGGCATGATCAAAATTATTGTGACTGTATGCAATGAACTTGCGATCTTGTTGTTTTGAAATGGTTGCTTTAAAGATGCGAACCATATCTCCAACCACTCGCAGTCAGCTGCAGTCTTTAAATCGACTTTAGCCCATTAAGACAGTGATAAAAATTGAAATGTCTGCTATCAGTTTGAGTCGATTAAACACCATCTGTTTGTAATATTATGGCAATTAACTGTGAGAAATCAGTGAAAATTGGGAGTCTGCTGCAATCCATTGCAGTTCTATTACCATCTAAGCACACACATGTTAAAAAGCAATTCACATTAACTACTCAGATTTAAAGTTTACCTCAAACCTTGTAGATTAGAAATAGAAATTCCTCCACAAACAAAGAAATACTTGCTTCAGGATGGCAACTTAACTGCAAAGTGACGTAGGTGCTCAGTAGCCTTGCTTGTTGTTAGGAACATAACCAGAAAGTTGGCAACAAGTTGAAACAAGATGCATAGACGGACTCAGACTAATTGCAATGTATCTGCAATCTTGGCAATTATAAATTAAACAGCAGGTATTGCACACTTCATATCTGATCAAGGCAGTTGATCATCACGACTACTTGTAATAGCAAAATTACCACCAACTGATGCTACTTTTCGTAGTTGTAAGGAGTCTGCTATCCTATCATATACTTTAGTGTGAACGAGCCATAAAGCATGGTGGTGGTGGTATGAATACAGTTTAGGGCTTTTTTGCATTGGTTTGTTGCGTCAGTCTCATATGTAAGCAGCTATGAAACATCTGGCCCCCTGTAGATTCTCCTTTAGCACCAACAACCTACAAGATACAAAAATCAAGTGTTTACTTATCTATCCAGCCTGTAAGTGATGATTAAACTGCTTGTTGTTTGTTAATTTAGTCAGATTTTGTTTTACAATAGCTGACTTAGATGAAGATCCTGATTCCAAAGGCTTTAAAAACTTTTTGCTCTAACTGTGACACACTTTTGTGGCTTTTTTTGCAGTGATTGCTTGGTCCAGGGGTAGACTGGTTTCCTTTTCCAACCAGCATGCACACAGCCTCTCTTTGATTTATAGCTCCACGCAGGCGCTATCATTGTGTGTGCTGGTCTGAGAATCTTGACTGCATTTAGAGGAAATAGAGGGGGAAGGCAAATGAGCAGTGTTTAGACGCAATGAGAAGAGGGAGAGCAGGGCGTTAGGGTAACATGACACACAAGGAGAAAACGGGAAGATGGAGGGTAATGGAGGTAGCGGTGGGAGGGCAGCAGGTTTAACAGGGTCTCTCGTCCTGTGAATAAGAAGCAGCAGTAATCAACAAAGCAGCTGGGGTACACTGGTCCTAATGCCTCATCCCTGGATGAAAGTGCTGATAGTGACACAGGGCTGATGAAGCTCACCACTGCTTCCGAAGCAGAACAAAAACCATTAGGAAAATAATGGAATATATAGTAGGGGATAATCAAAACGGCAACGGCAGGTGAACCGCTTTCATACAATGCCATACTCTCACGGGAGTCCAGGCAATCCATTTCATACGCAGAAGCTTACTGCACAAAGCCTGGCTGCAGAGACCAACCACTTCCATCTCTTAGAAATGCACGGTTCTATACTGCAGGAGGTTTGTGGCAGGAAAATTACTGACTAAGAAATTACTTAGGAAGTCTGAGGAGTCAAACTATAAAGCCTGGTTATATCGTGGCTATTAAATGGTCTCTATGGTATTGTAAATAATTTTCAACTGGGATAGCTAAAGCTTCAAAAACACACTAAACACAAATCCTTTGATTATGTTCTATGCCTCTTATATGCCATAACTACAAGTTATGTAAATACTAGTTCCTCAATTAGATTTATAACGGTAAAATCTTTAAATACATTTAAATAAAAAATGATCGTTATGAGGTTCGAGCAACATCACCTTTACCTCTGCCCATTTGTGGTGCAGCAGCAGTTTTACAATATAGATCCACGCAGTGTTAAACCACACAATAAACGTGGGTGTAGTGAAGACTGGATATACTTCGGTTCCACAACTATTAGTTAAGACTTAAGAGTTATATTATCTGAACTTTATAATAATTGCTATAAGCCTTTATTAAAGCTCTGTTACAATATTTGGATGGGATTAAATCATTAGCAGCATTAGCTATATTCTAGACAGTTTCTCATGAGGTGCAAAATTATAGAGACAGAGAGAAAAAGAGTGAGAGTAATGTGTGCAAGCTGACAAGGAGACTAATATGAGCTAATGATATCTGACAGCAAGAAGAAGAAATGTTATTCATTTAAATGGGCCTGTTTTGTTAGAAAAGAAGTTAGGAGGACAAAATAGGTTAATATCTATAGACTTATGTACCATCTATCCTCTGACCCAGTGGCTGCTGAAGTAGGCCCAGCTTGGCCACGACCCTGAATTAGGTAAACAGTTATACATGTGATGTCACCTGCTGGTCAAATAGGGTTTTGTTTTTTTTTTGGTTTTTTTAGCATTTTGGCAATTGCCTTGATTTTTGTGTGTTTTTGTTAAATAAATGTCAAAAGTGCATCTGACATTTTCCACATTTCACTTGCTAACAAAAGGTACGGTAGCTATGTCGTGCATCT